GAGAGCACTTCCTGTTACGGGAGACGACCATCTGATGCCCGGTTGTCATACCGTAAAAAAAAAAAAAAATAAAAAAAATAAATTCTAGATAAATTATTTAAAGCACTAGAAAGCACTTCCGGTTACGGTAGACGACCATCTGATGCCCGGATGTAATACCGTAAAAAAAAAAAAATAGCGAATTTATCTTCTTGGACAACAAGGAGAAGAACCCCCAGGGGGAAGTTATTGTCAAACACATTTTTTTCGTTTTGAAATCACGCGTTAAGTATGACGGAGCCGCTTTTCTTGGCGTCGATCAGATTAAGCATTAACCCTTGACACAACTTGTCCAATTGTCATGACATGACCGCGTGGGGGTGGCAGTGCTCTCCTGTCAACATTTAACTGTGCCGCTTTTGATTGGGAAGAAAAGGTTAAGCATTCAGTAATCCTTTTATAGCCTTTTGTATTTAGCAATTTAATCAAATAACCAATGAAATCTGTTGGCACAAAGCAGTAAAATGATCTGTGAGTGCTTCTTTATCTGAGAATAAACTAACCCTTGTTCAGGTTTAAACTGCATCGACTGTGAGCTACACATGCGAGGTATGGTTCTGAGGCTTCCAAAATTTAAATTAAAAAAAAAACACACACAAAAAACACACAACAAAAACAACGGAGGAGTTCCCAGGGAAAAGTGACAAAATGTGTGACAAACTCATAAACAATATCTATAAATGATGGCCGCCAAAGAGGGGACAGAGAGGCGCCAGAGGGGACAGAGAGGCGCCAGAGATCTCAGACAAGCTGCACAAGATTGCAGGTCCGTGGGTGTCATGCAACCTATAATTACTAACAAAGACCACCACAGTGATGTCAAGACAGTGACCGGGAGTACATCACTTATCGTAACTCAGAGGGTTAAGCTCCTTCAGGCTGTGATGCAATAGGAAATATAAAAAAAAAAAAAAAAAAAAAAAAAAAACAAATTTAATATTTTTTAAAAAAAAATAAAAAAAAAAAAAAAAAAAAAAAAAAAAAAAAAAAAAAAAAAACTGTCTTATTTATTATTTGTTATTAAAAGTTTCACAATCAATTTAGCAATAGTTTTATTAAAGATTTTTAGAAAGCGAATGGTGGGTGTAACGTAGGATAACCATATCGCAACTGAAGTAACTTTCAGAAGCAAATACTGACAAAATAACGTAAAGGGCTTAACATGACTTTGGAACTGAAGCAACGCATATAAATGCAGGCAATCAAAAATAAAAAGACAATGACGTCATTTCCTTTACAGAAGGCCTGCACAACTCAAAATGTAAAGCCAGCCGTAATACTTTATGAAAAACTTGTGCGGGCCAAAAGAAAATAGGACAGGACTTGTGCGGACCAAAAGATTATTTGACAAGGAAAATAATAAGAATAAAGAATATTTCGCTACTTCGCGGCCCACAAGATGGATGCGGCCTGCAGGCCCTATGTTGTGCAGGCCTGCATTACAGAATTACAAATACTTCATTGTAGCAGTGGTATTAAATAAACATGAATAACATTTATTGCTTCCCCATCTTGTGACATTGACCATGACTGAAAATGTACTGTCTCTACTTATTAGATATAAACACCATTAATAAAAATATTCTTTAAAATGTGCAGACAAATTGTTCTTAATTCAAGATGGCCACCAGGAAATGTGCCACAAGCACAAAGGTATAAAAACGACTTCGTACCAAGATGTATGAAACAACTTTATATAGCACCAAAATTTATGCAATTTAACTTTTGGATACTGTGTCAACTTTTAAATGGAATTTAACAATATGCCATAGGAAAAGGAGATAGTTTATATTCCTGCAGAATATCTGAGACGAATGTGCAACTAAACCATACTTCATAATGTAAAGCTATAACCAAAATCACATCTAATAAACCGTTATTAAGTTTCTAGGAGAGCATGAGCACACAGTTGCTGTTGTTCCTCCAAAGCAGATTGTCAGGGCAGGGCTTCGAGTGCCCAATTTGCAAAAACAATAATTTTACCTAAAGTCACACGTAAAGCCAACAACCATATTTTTCCTTTAGCCACTTAAGTAATGCCCAAAATTTGGTAAAGCTTGTAATTTGACAGTTGGATTTAGATACCATCTTCAATAAACCAGAATAGCCACTACGTAAATGCTGAGTTGTCATTTCAAAATGTAAAAGGAACTCCTTCCATCAATAATAAAGTGCTGCAGTTTAAGTAAAACAGTGTACCTTCAAGGGTAGAACGGTTGAATTGGCTACCCCTAATATTTTGATACAATGGAGGTGAATAAAAAGTGTTGCTTCAGCACATTAAATGCCAACTTCACCTTTAACAAGGTCTAAAAACAACCAAAAATTGAAGAGTGCTAAAATTTATTATAACAGTTCACAAGAAAATTATTATGTCTGTAGACCTCAGAATAAGTTTAAATTTACAAAGAGTTTAATAGTCACTGTTTCAAAACAGTACCTGCAAGGCTAACAAAAAAGTTGACATTAGAATTATCCCAAATTAATTGATGGCAAAAAAAAAAGTTTAAGTCAAATCCACTGGCCAGTAGTGAAACAAAACATGACTTTTTTTTACAAAAAGCAACCTGACTGCCGACATAATTATAGGCATTTTTTTTAAAAAAACAATAATTTCTTAAATTTCATTTTACTGTGAGCTACACAGCTAACGTCATAATTAATAACACTGTCTAAAATACTGATAATGGCTGAAAAAAGACTAAACAGACAACAGTTAACTGACAGCATGAAAGAGAGAGATTTCTTTCATTTTTTAAAGCCAAACATCTTTAAACAGTGCTGCATGATTATAGTCTCATTCAGAAGGAAAGAAGTTAATTATGACTGCCAGCATTTCCCATTTAAACTGAGTTTGACATTAACAGAGCACTGTGACGTGATCCTGGATTTAAAGTATAATGATAAGAGTTATAGCTATTTCTTCTTTGTCTCCAAACAGGACATGTTTTCATATTCAAAAGTTGGCAAAAATTAGCGTGTAACTGTCAATTAAACAATTTTTTTGAGGGGGAAAGTGCAATTGAGAGGGGGTGTGTGTGTGTGTGAAAGAAATATGATTTTTATTTTATAATTTCTTTTTAGAGATTAAAAACATTTATGGATCAAAATGAATTCAAGTTTACAACCTTTGTAATGTGCATATATAACAATGCATGATAGATTACGAAAATTTTGCATTGTTACATATGGAATGGAAATAGTTAATTTTTTTCTTTGACACATTTAGAGTCAACAAACACTTGGAAAAAATTGGAAATATCTGTTTTACTAAATATTAATCAAACATAGTAGTATCATATGATTTCTTTTTTACTGCTTATAGCTCAAATATATATAAACTAAATTAAGGCAAGAAACTATCCCCATGGCTTTTGACTTATGACTCACAAAAGAAGAAAAAATATAATAAACACATAACAAATATTAGTTTGGTCTTAAGTACAGTAATAATAGTTGCAGTTGATCCAGCATAACTAAAAAAAAATGTAGACTAAAAAAAATATTATTTTCCGATTGGCAGACCTGTTTACTCTTACCATTTTGGCGTACAATGTACGATTTTGAGGTGTAAACATAATATATACTGTATGTTTATTTTTTTACTATAAATACAAGATATTGAACGATTTTGTGATTGTACGATTTAAGAATTTGAGGGTAAACAGATCTGAACTGGCATTTAATGGTTCGGTCTGTTATAAGTTTTTGTCAATGATAATGATTGTTAATATGTTGTAAGGGGCACTGTACTGTAGCACACCAAATAAAAAAAATTCTGAACAACAGACTATAAAGTTCGACATAGATTTTTCCCTTTCTAGAATTGAAAAAAAGCAAAGGCAAAAGATTACAGGCACCTAGACCTAGCCTAGAGGGGAAACTTTAAAAAATAAAATGATTGCTGGATAACATGAAATTGAATACAGAACTCAGGCTTCCACCTAGGTTACTGATATTGATAAGATGAATCAAGATTCAATGATAACTTCAAATATTCTTCATTTTTTTCAAAATCAAAGGTCATATAATATCATATATTAATTACAATATTATTATATTATATAGACTAATACAGACAGATGTGAGATACTTATTTATTATTAAAATGAAAGTATTTAGTATTTTTATTTGTAAACCTATACTATGTGATATGTGGTCAGAAGAATAAAAGTTAGGAATAGATCTATTACTGTAGTCTTATGCTTATCATTTCATTACACAATAAATAAAATAGGACTTAAGTTTCAGCTGCCTACTTAGTAAACTAAGGTCTAAGTTAACTAGTTAAAAACCACTAAGACTACACTACTACATTACTTACTCGAAGGCAAAGAAAAGTCCACTTGTGATGACTATGAGAGCACATGTTAGGTAAAATACTCCAGCTTGCCTTGCCATCATTATCCTCCCATTACAGTAGAATTTATTTTTTCCTGGAAATACTTCCCATCTTCTTATTTTTTTGGCCATTTTAATCTGAACCTCTTGAGCAGATTGGTCGTCACCGGTTTTCGAAACGGGAAAGCCAGTCGTTGACACTGCTGTGTAATAGTCTTTCATTAGTGAAACAAACACGCAATTTTTGGCTAAACTCTAAAACTATATTTGAAAACGACATTACCGTATGTTTACGTCTCATTTATGTGTTATTCGAATGTCTCCACATTTTTAGAAGGGTAACAATTGCTCCTTAAATAATACTATAAAAAATACAATGTTTTATCTAGTAGGAAATGTCGCCAAGACTTTGTTGTTGATCATTATATCCCCATCGCGCATGCGCATTAGAAACAGGACCTCTCATTATGCTGTTTGATTTCGAATAATTAAAATTATAATTTAAAAATATATTTTTATACATCATTACATTGTTTAAATTTTAAATGATCCCTTCCTTATAATATGAATACTATTCCTAGCTGAAACTTTATGCGAAACTTACTGGCCTTTTTCTGGGTCATGAGTAAAAAGGTCAAGCTTGTTTGTATATAATCTACTACTAGATTGCAGCATGACTGAATTCGATCAAGTAGTTTAGGAGGATTCAACAATCAATAACATTAAAAAAATAATTAACTTTTTAAATATGAACGAAGAGGAAGATTCTTTAAATAAGCAAACTTATCAGTCTGATAAATACTCTAAACTTAAAGGTAAGCTGAAACAAAAATTAATGTTAAGCCAACTTAAGCCTATTTTTGAATTTGATATTTGCCTATTAATAAAAATAATACAAATATTTTATTGAATGAATAGTGTAAGCACTGAAAGTGAATAGGCTGAAAAAATACTACTTAGAATAATTATCTAATAATAAGTGATGAGTAATAATAAAAATTCACTAGGCCCAGGCCTATCTCATCCCTAGGCCTGGGACTAGACCTAGTCAGTGTGAGTATAGTATATCAGTGTTAGTATAATGTATAGTATACTTATACTTATTCTTATACTATAAGATTATACTTATAAATAAATAGAGGCCGTACGTCATACGTCACGCTATTTTTGACCATTTTTACCCCCGCCCTCCTCCGTCACAAACTGTCACAAATATCGGAACCCCCCCCCCCCTTAAAGTACGTCACACTTTCAAACAATTTTTTTTAAAAATTAACACCTAATTAAAACTTAATCTAAAACTCACTTCACTATTAAACTGTATTAAAATATAAAATGTCCACTTAATTTCCACTATCACATTATTAAATTGACTTTAATAGCAGAATATTTATTTGTCAAAAGTTGTCACAGTTATTCATTGAAGCAGTCCGGGTATACATCATTTAAGCTGCTTTTTCATTTACAATAGATAAGGTCAAGTTTTAGATAATCTTCCGATTATGCAATCTTTTTACACAGGATAAGAAGTAGGTTAGCGAAACATGACCTCACCCAGTGATTAAATAATAAAAAGGACAGTGACATATTTATGCAGCGGACAACATAGAAATAATAATACTTCAAGCATGACGAAAGCAAGGCTATACACAAAACAAGGCTTCGCAACAGCATAGTAGCGCTCCTAGAGAAACACATTCAGGAGAGACGCATTTCATGCTATTTTGACATAAATCTAATTCAATCTAATGTTTCACAAAATTTTTGAAAATTATTTTTAAAGCAATTAAATTCCACTAAAGAAATAAATTAGAAATGAAATTTAAAATAGTAAATGTGTGACGTCACACATGGCTCCCCCGTCACAAACTGTCACACTTTCTTACACCCCCCTCCCCCCCTCTGGAGCATGACATACTTTATGGACGTCCCCATAGTTAACAAAAATAAAAGGGGTTCCAAAATATAATAAAAATTTATAAAAATGCGTAAGTTATACTCCATGGTCCATAGCCAAAACCAAAAGGCACTTGGACTTGACTTAGTCTTGATAAGAGTAAGAGTCTTAGACTTACAGTGTCATACATGATAAGTTAAAGTTACTAACTTAGTTAGCCCTACTTTTAGTTTAACCTTTAGTTAGCCAACTCATAAATACTCATATATTAGGCTATATTTATATCATATTAAAATTAATATTCATACGGATGAAACTGCACTAATACTAATACCTTAAAATTATTAATAAGTGTAAGTGTAAGTAAATGCTAATTAAATACTTACTAATTAATAGCCCAAATTCAAATGATTGTAATTTTAATAAGTAATGATGCACATGTAAGTAGAGTAGGCTACTCTGTCAGTAGGACATAGCCTATGTGTATGCCTATGTCCCTATGTTAAATGTATGGGTATAGCGATGCCATAGACTATTGACTATAAATAGGCCAGAGAAATTTTAAAACCTATTTATTTTTTGTATCATAAAACTTTAGATGTACAGTGAAAAATTTAAGGTTTTGTTAGTATGCTGTTGAAAAAAAAGATTTCATTTACTAAATGTAATGGTTTTTGAATGTGTAATCTCCTTCTATATCTTAAGGACCCAAGATCAATGTTCTGATCATTCTGGCTCCTATTTTTATATATAGGGGATTCTCGATGTTTCAGTGCTTGGTATTAAAGAGGATATTTCACTAGCTGTGTGGGTATCAGGAACATGTATGGATTCAGTAATTTTTAAAAAGTTGTGATTGCCTTATAACATGTTTAAATAACATTCTCTTTCCAAAGTTATTTTTCAAATATAATTCATGTGGCTTTAAATTTTCAGTGGGATATTCTAATTAATAAAAACATATTGCTGACAAACAGGAACATCTCTTTCTAATAGAATTTTTTTTCAAGGGAAGTAATTCATCCTACATTAACAAACTTATTTTCTCTTCACGCTAATGACCGGTAATGCTCTCAACAAAGTGGCACTCTACTTTGTTTTCAATAGTTTGAAATATAAATTATTTCCAAGACACATTACAAATTAACAATGGCAGTTTCTGCATTATCATATTTACTATTTTAAAACACAGCATGTATTGTTCTCAGTCTCAATGCTTATATATAAAGTCTTATAATTAATTACCAAGCATTCATATTGTATGAAATAGATTTAAACCCTGACAAACTCTGCTTGGATGAATAGTTTTAAAATAATGTAAACTTTTAGTTTTCGTTTAAACAACATTACTGAATATAGGTAGTGTGCCCAGGTGTCCACTATTTGAGCAGATAGTCCGCTTTTTTTCACATTATGTTCACTATATTTTTTACTACTTAAACCCCCTTCCCTCCCAACCACCACCCCCTTCCGCTTTCCTCTATTTTTTGGAAGGTCCGCAATTTTTTGGAAGCAGACCTGGCAACCCTAAATATATAGAACGTTTTCAAATATTATTTCATCCACCATGCATTTGAACTTTTAAACTATAAAATAACCATCTAAGACAAACAAGCATTCTTCCATAATTTGATATGGTTGATCTATTAAGGAACTGTTCTAAAAGCACAAGATCACACAAACTGGTTAAATACTTGATAAATTTCTGATTTTTAAACGACTGGTTGACAAATTAAGAGAAAAAATGACACTCTACTAGGTTAGACAGATGGAATGAGTTAGACTAGACAGATGGAATGAGTTAGACAGTTGGAATGAGCTAGACAGATGAAATGAGTAATGACAGAGCTTTATTGAATTTATAGGATAGTTAGTGAAATCACATGACAGAGAAACAGAGATACCATTATTTATATCTTTAAAAGTTGCAATAAGTTACTTTGACCTTCATTGTTTGTATTGAATGTGCACAGAATCCCTGAAGATTTGGTCACAGCTATAGATATTCTTGGGTCAGCTCTCCTTGAGGCTGTTGGCTTCACTTTCAGTGCCATAGAGCTTATGTCCAGACTTGTGTATCAAGTCACGTTGGCATATATCTTTAAAATCTGTAGATACATAAATAGACTCTCTGTAAATTAGATTGTTCCGACGACAAAGTTTCAGAAAATGTTTTAGTGGTGTGGATCTTGTATACAATATCTAGGCATAAACTGAGCTTTGACTTCAGACTTAATGTTAAGACAATAAATATATGGTTTATGTGATGGTTTATGTGATGATTGGGGTGGAAGTCAGCATGCTGCACCATCCTGTATCCAAAGATAGTTTTTTTCACTCAAATTAGAAACAACTCTTTAAAAAAAATAATTGATACTTAAAAGGAAATTAAGGCTGAAATTGATTTTCTATTTATTTCAAGAACACGGGAAAAAAAATGTTAACAATATAATTTGTTGGATGTTCGAGAGAATTCATGGTATCTAAAGATTCAAAACAGTGTGCCTCAAATTTATTGTGTTAGCAAATACATATTTAAAATAGCATCTTTCTAATGATGTAATTCATCTGTTTAAAATACGAAAATTCTAGTGGTAATTTAAGGCCATTGATACTGTAATCCAAATATTGACTTCTTCAAGTTCTTTTGGGGCTAGACATATGGTAAAAATATTTAAAATAAAGAGCACCACTAGTGAATATTTTATCTGGTTTAAAAAAAAAGTATTAATAATCATTCATAAGTCCATCAATCTAATACTGTATGTTATTTTGCTAATGTTTATGGTTCCATAATACAACTTAGCCATTGCTAACATCTATAGCTGTCTAGCCGATGACAGATCTTTTATAACTAATTTGTTAAGGGTATGTCGACAGTTCAACTTAACCATTGCTAATGTAAAGGTTTTATTTATTTACATTGTGGACTTGAGTGACATCCAACATTGTAATAGCAATTATATACATATCTGATATATCACTATATTCACTAAGTGACAAAAAGAAATACATTGCTTAGACTGAATGTTATTTATTTAAAAAATTAATGGACAGAATAATTTTTGTTTGGGTTAGACAATTTATTTCATCATAAAATGTGACAATATTTATTAGAAAAATTTGCAAATATACTTTTTAAGTAATTTGTAAAAACATTGGGCTACAAAAAAAACCAACAACCAAAAGCATTTTTGGTAGCCTATTACAAGAAGATTCAAATGTTAAAAAAAAGATACTAACCATCAGGATTGATTGTTTGCTGCTAATTCTTTCCAGGCTTCATCCAATCATCATGCATCCAAAGTGGGAGTTATCCTAAGGGAGACCAAATAGAGCAATGCAAGGGAGGGGTGGCCACTGTGCATGAGTTTAGTTCAGATCACAGCAGCCAGTTGACCTTCCCCCTCAAAAAAACAACAACTCATGTGTAGGAGAGACCCTCCTCATTTGAAAGATGAATGCTTCTCAACTTATTGTATTTATTTCCCTATTCTGATTTAAAGATTGTCTCATATAAAATACATATTTACAATTAACATGCATTATTTTTTAATAATTGATTTTAGTTTTCATTACTCTTAACTTTTTACAAATGTAATTTTTATTGATAAATCAAACATATATGATTTGCATTTCACTTTCCAAATACTTTTCTAACAGAATTTTAAGACTTAAATTGCCCCCCCCCCAAAATTATTCTGATAAAGAGCAGTCTTTTTTTCTAGGTTTCTGAATATATTTCCACTAATTATGAAATTACTCTAATTGTCCATTTAGAGTCACAAATATATTATTAATATCTTTAAAAAATCTTTGAAGTTCTCTAGAGTTTAAATAATTATTTAAAATGAAAAATCCATTGCAGAAGATTGTGGAAAAAGTTGTAGATTGTGTGTGGTAAAAACAAGGGAAAAGTCATTAATTTAAATCCTTTAACAAATACATTGCACATAATAATAGTTTTCTATACTGGTGGTGATCATTGTCTAATATAAAATGCATCCCAGCTAAATGCCAATTCAAAATAGCATCATAAAGTGCTAGGAAAATGCCAGGGCCTTAATGAGCTTGTGGTAATCTACCGCATGCTCACACACGTGCCCAACAATATTGATTCGGCTGTTGATGCTTTTTTTTTTCCCTGAGTCAGCCTGTATATGTGTTTCTTCTGTGGGACCCAGTCAGAATATTTGTGCTAGGGGGCCAAACCCTGACATAACTCTCAATTGTCTCCTTTGCAGCAAACAACAATGGGAGTTGGATCAAGTGTGTCTATTGTTACTTATTTTCTGGAATGATAGATTGTTCTTGTGTTTTAGTTTTAGGAACACTTTATAATTTTGTGGTTTCTATTATGCAATAGTAATGTACAAATACTAAAGGTAGTTTCTTTAATGAAATAGTACTGTACAAATAATTAAGGAATGTATTTTAAAGAAGAAAAAAACAATTAAGTTAATATGTGTTTCACAAAATTTCTCCATGTAAATTTTGGAGAAAATAATGATGACAGTTAAAGTGAAGATACTTTACATATTTAAATCATTGTCTTTAAAAGTTTCTCAGAGGAAAAAGATAAACAATAGACTTTTTCTATGTTGTTCTGAAATAAAAAGAGTTGTGTAACATGCCAAACTAAATGAATATTCTTTCTTTTAGTTATTTTATAGCTACTTTAACAATTAATTCAGCTTGTTTGAAAATACTGTTTTTATCTATTACAAGCCAATATACCCGGGATTGCATTAGGACCCCATCCTTGTGTGACCTCGATCCCATTGGAACCCTAATCCCATTCTGATACCGATCTCGGCACAGTCCCGTTTCCCGGTTTTATCCTGATCCGGTTTGATCCATTCAAGGTTGGGATCCCGTTTTCTGGTGGGATCCTGATCCCTTTGGGATAAAGATTATGATGGGATCCCGACCCCTTTGGGATCCCATATAAAAAAAATTACTCGGTGTTACTGAGAGAACTTAAACTCCGGGACAGTATAGAAATAAATAGAACTAACTAAAATTTCATTATCCCTTAGATCCCCGTGGAACAATTTAGAACTTTCTGGAACATTCTAGATTAAATTTAATAACCTGCTGCAAACATGTGTAAAAACTACTTTTCTAATTATTTTTTGAATACGATAAAATGGATATTATGAGTTCAGTACCCTTCGGTATTTGAATATGGATGATCATGTGTATGTGTAATAAGTTTGGTCAAGATCCATCCATTCAAGTATGGGTAATAAGCCTATTGATATTTATATAACTTATATAAGGAAAATTGAAATTGGGCCCCCGGCCCAAAAGAATGGATATTATTAGTTCAATACCCGTCGGTATATGAAGATGGATAATAAAGTGTATGTGTACTAAGTTTGGTAAAGATCCATCCATTCATGTAGGAGTATTTGTTGTTAATTTATTTATACAGCTCATATGAGGAAAAAAACGAATTCGGGGCCCCCTGCCCCAAAAGGAATGTTATAAAAAGTTCATAATCCCTTAAGAGTTCCTTCTGGAAATGATGGATATATGTGCCAAGTTTGGTCACGATCCATCATTCCATGTAAAAACGTATGTGGAACAAATACAGCCACAAACAAACAAACAAACTTTCACTTTTATATATATTATATGTATGGCATCTTTCCGTCTGCGGGAGACGATAGATTATCTTTATTGCTTGCAGCTCCTATTGTGGCTGGTGAGACCAATCCTCGAATGGCAGTCTCTGTTAAATTTCCCACACACGAATGAGGTGGAGCAGTATTGACCGGCCTTCCTCCTCGCTCTTTTAGCAGCTGTTTCCGCCCTGTTTTGCTCCTCAGCATGTAGTGATCCTGCCTTCACGATGTCCCGCCATGTGGATCGATCCTCTGCCAGCTCCTCCCAGTTTGAGATGTCGATGTTGGCCGACTTCATGTCTCTTTTGCATATGTCTAAGTATCTCAGACGAGGCCATCCAACTGACCTTTTCCCTGTCGCCAGCTCGCTGTATAGCACGTCCTTTGGTATGCGACCAGGTTGCATTCGCTTGACGTGTCCAAGCCAGCGGAGGCGTCTTTGGATTAACATGGCAGGGACGCTACACATGTTTGTTTGGGACAGGACATCCGTGTTGGGACTTTGTCTTGCCATTTAATGTCAAGGATGTGGCGCAGGCATCTGAGGTGGAAGCCATTGAGCCTTCTTTCGTGGTTAGAGTATATGGTCCACGACTCGCATCCATACAGGAGTGTGCTCAGTACGCAGGCCTGGTACACCTGCAGCTTAGTTCTTGTTGTGAGTCTGGCGTTTGACCAGACTCTTTTCTTCAGTCTGGCCATAACAGTTGCGGCCTTCCCTATCCTTCCACTTCTCTCATCCTCCATTGAGAGGGTGCTCGATATGTTGGATCCCAGATATGTGAAACTGTCAACAGTATCCAAGTCGTAGTCGTCGATGGCGATAGTGGGAAGGGAGTCAGCGCCCTGTGCCATAATGTTAGTTTTCTTTAGGCTAATTGTCAGGCCAAACTCTTTGCAGGCAGCGGATAGTCTGGATACGAGGCATCTTTCTATCTTCACGAGACAATGGAGTAGTTACTGACTCCACCAAATGGCTTATAATGCCGGTCCTGGTATGGCAGTCTCGGCTGCACTCCTAGCAGGAGAACCTAACTCTTGGTTCATTTGGCTTTCCTTGATGCTCTTTTTGTTCCTAGGCTTTTGTTTTGTGCATCTTGTCTTTTTGACTCCCTCATACACTGCTGTTCACCAGCTGCAACGGCGCGCTCAGTGATGATCTCCCATTTGTTGATTTCTATTTTGGCCTCCCTCATGTTCCTTTTGCATATCCTTAAATCCCAGCCACCGCCGTCCACTAACTCTTGCCCAATCTACCGATTCTCCATGCTGCAGATTATTTGGAATATGGACTTCCTCTATTCTCCTTATATGACTTCTTGTGAAAAGCAGAGGACAGGCTACGCATTTCGGGACATTCTAAAACCTCACTGTTAGGCACTTTGTCCTGCCATTGAATTCGCAAATGTTAAGCAGACATCTATTTTTATTTTCAAATAACAATGTAAGTTTAATGTTATCTCATTGCCCAACAATTGTGTTATATATCTTTGTTTATTTCCTTTCAGCTGGAATTTTCCTGACATCAATCACAGGGTTATCTATCCTGGGAGGGTTCGGGATGACACTGGCTATGTCCAAACGACAGGATCCTACCATGTTTGCTAAGGTAAAGTTACAACATTAAGGCTGACCAGCTGAAGTTTTTTCTTTTATATAAAAATATGATGTGAAAGATTACAAACACAATTGTATAAAGCTTGCATCTGAGGCAAATATTGACAGCTCTAAGAGTGACAAGATCCAGATCTTTATAAAGAATGAGAGACATTTGATGTTTTGAATGAAGTTGAATGACAATTTTAAAGTAAATAATCTTTTATTTGTATTGAAACAAACAAGGTATATATTTTTTTTTTAAAGGTTATTATAACTAAATGTCTCACGCCTAGATGATATCCTTGGACCAGCCAATCCTTTTTTCTACCAGTAGATTAACTTTGAATTTACGCAACAGATTTATCTAATCCCACAGGGTATTCATGGCACAAGAGAAATCCCTGAGAGCGGAGTTAGTCTCGCTACCCGAGCTCTGGCGAGGGGATCACTTTATTCTGTGGCTGGTTTCAGTTTGTTGTGTTTCACAGTTTGGAAATTGATGGGGGTGAACAATGTGAGTGAGCTTGACTAAAGTACATTTGATTTTTATAAGGTTTCATTCTAAGTGATTTGGAACTAATTTGTGAGATTCAGTGTCAAGAAAAATTAACTTAATATTTTGTTTGCTTTTAAATTGTTTTTGTTTAGGTGGTCCGAATGATAATATTTTAATTGTTTTAAGGAATTTGAAACAGTTTAAAAAAAAAAAATAATTATTCTAAATTTTTGTTAAAATATTATTTAGTTCTTATTCATGTGATGAAATTTTGTTGAGCCATGTTATTAAATATTTAGGTATTAGTTTATTTAGTTTTAGTTTATTTATTTAAGTTTCTATAAAATATTTGTTTAAAACTATCGGTAAACCAATTTCCTGTTTTTCAGATGTCAGAATTCAGACAAAAAATGGGATCCGTCCTACCGACCATACCCAAGAGAGATAATCCAGGGAGAGGGGATTTTTTAACTATCAGGGACTTATTTAACTATATTATTGAAGAGGATGAAAAAGAGAAGAGGGTCAAGAAATCGTCTTAAAATAGTAGCCCTTTTTTTCATACTTTAATGCATATGGAATTGGATTTCCGCAACTTGGTTGATGTTTTTAAAAATGCACTCATCTAGGAGGAACGGGAAACATTTAAAGTAAAGATGTTTCGTTTAAAAAAAATGTTGTTCAAGAGATTGAAAACCCCTATTTAGTGCCGGTTGTGCAGTTAAGTCCCTTGAGCAGCTGATAAGTTACATTTCTCAAGTTGTTGGGGCGTCAGGAGCCCAGGCTTCTTGTGCATCTTGCTACCTGAACCAAAAGCGATTGGGGCTCTAAAAGAACACCGTCTTTGATTGTGATTCTGTACAGGCCAAAAGTGTGCCTGCTTTTAAATAAGTAAGGGTTTGGAGTGTAACGGAATGATATTTGTAATTATTTAAAAAATCTCTGCCTAAAATGTAACATTAAATTGTTAATAAATAAATAAATAAATAAAAAATAATTTTTTTTTGTTATGTTTTACTTATTAGTGATGTTAGTTTTTAAAGACTATGATTACCCCTCCCCCTTTTTTATTCCCCAATTTAATATTGCATAGCTAATATACTTATCTTACTATGATGGTATTTACTTTCATTAAAATAGAAAAGTCATTCACTAAATGCGAAATGTCATGGTTAAATTTTCCTTTAATTTAAAATTCTATTTCTCATCAATATTCACCATTAACAAATCATATCTAAACACTATCACAAGAATTTAAAGATAAAATGTCAACAATGAGAAATTGTATACATAAATGTGTTCGCTGAATTTATTATACATATACATTTTATACACCTAAACGTTTTATCTCCGTACACATTCATATCATTAATATTATAATCAAACAAATATATGCATGTTGAATAAAATTTTAACAAGTTTGATCTTAAATTAATGTCAAGCTTTGCGGGGGGCGGGCTAGGTGACAAAGAATACAGGTTGTATCACTTTGTTACGAATTACGTCTTGAAGAAAAACTACAAAGAACATTAAAAATGTTACTTTTGTAAGATTTTGCTAAGTTTACTTAGCTGTAACTAAATGAAGAACATAGAGTTTAAATAAACCATTGTGACTTGATTGGAGATTGCTGCTCATTGTGTTACGACACCGAGTTGCACTTATTAGCTATATTCATCTTGGTGATGGGTGGAAACATATGAAAATAATACCTGCAAATTCTGTGTGAATTACAGCAAATAATTCAGTTTTGATAACCCACATAGATTTTTCATAAATTAGCTAAAATTTACAAGATTTATAGAACATTGATATTTAATAAAAATCTTTCAGATACTTGCCTAGTATAAATAAAAATATATAAAAAAAGACAAGAAACATATAAAAAGATGATATATTGTGTGTATTCAGACTAATAATGTACTATACATAGAGTGACTTTTGAGTTACACTATTTATAAGCCTAGCTTTACTAAAAATAAAGACTTAATTATAAGCATGTATTATTATGTGCTCATTATATAACCATATGCACAACATCCAACTTCGATGAGAGAGCCACTTCAGTCAGCAGACTAAGTTGTTTTTTTATTTTCTTTCTGAGATACTGAAAGATTGTTTGAAAACAAAACCCACAACATGGCACAAAATGAAATTCCAGATAACTGCACAAAACCTGTCTAAATTTATGTTCATTAGCCATGAAAGGTTAAGATTCCTTTCTAGTTGGGATTCTTAAAGACAATAGAAGTCAGTTATTCTTTTACAGAAATTGAATCAATTTAAAAATATTATAAAATAAATCTGCTAAAGTATATGTAATCTTAAATATTGAGTTTTATTATTATTAATAAATTTAATTCAATAATTATTTTAACTACGGTACTATTAAAAGATAAGAGTTTAGATTAAAATATTTAAAGTAGAGTAGCATGGCATTCTTTACTATCATCTCTTTCTTACTATTATCAATTTAAAAAAAAATTCAATTTTTACAAGCAAAATCTCCTTCTAGTGAGCAATTTACCATATTTTCTTTTTACATTTCAAGGGCGAGTAAATTAGGAAGTGGTATATATTAAATAATTTGTATGAACTTGGGCAAAGAATAAAAATTTTTTTTGGGGGGGGGGGGTGACGACACACAACATATTAATATCAAAACCAGATTTATTATAGTTATAGATTTGATCTTTGGTATTGATTTTTTATGATTAAAAAAAACAACTCATTCTTAATATCTCAAACCCTAATCATTTTACATATGTGACAATTTAATCTTTATAATAGATCCATAATTTTTTAATTTCTCAAAAATACAGTTCAGGTGTGTCAACAACAATCAGTTAATATTTTCTTTAAAATTTGAATTTTTTTTTCTACTTGATGCAAGATACAATTATGGAAAAGAGCGTGTGCATTTTAATGAGATTATTAATATTTCTAAAAAAAAACTCCAAGCTATTACAGACATGAAAATTGGTAAGGTATTCTTTAAATATAAGAAATCTATGTTTAACGATTAAGGACATGCTTTTACAATTTTAAAAATATCTTTTCTTCCTATTTCAGGAAGCGAGGAAAGGGTTGGTTAAGCCTTTTTTAATTAGAAAATAAAACAATCTCAAAACCAAATGATGTAATAAACTTAAACATCTATACCGGGGTACATAGATACTCATTCAAAAATAAGGAAAGTCTGATTTGCTGTTTCCTATTTATACAATTAAAGGATGTGGAACATTGTTGTAATTTTATTTTAGCTTCTCGTATTAAATATGCATATCCACTTATAATTAAATCATTGACTCACAATAAATAAAAAAATTGAAAATAAAGACAATCAAAATCTGCATTTCCAAAATAAAAAAAAAATCTTTGTGTATTTGTGGATGATAATGTAGTACCAGTATATACATGACTTATTATTGAAATTTTTAAATATTTTTTTAAAAGTTCATTTAGAGCATAACCAATTGTTAAAATATCTGATTCCTTGTGATAGTGCCAAATTCTCAAATAATACGAGTCCAACAAATCTGTGTGTACTACATAGAATTATGTTGAAGTTTTAACAGCTCATAATCAGATATGAATTTTGTTTTATTTTCACAGCAAAGACTGGCTCCCTTTGATTACCCATCTGTGGCAAAATAACAAAGAGATATACAAATAATAATAATAGTTTTTAATCATCAAACAATAAGTTTAATTCCAGTGTATGACATTTGCTAGTTACTCAAGTTGTATAACCGAACAAGGTTGTGGAATAGCAACTCAACAGTAAGTGTTGTAGGCTGGACTTGAAGTTTTTTTTAAAAGACTTTCATTCTGAGATGAAACATTACAAGAAAATGTTTGTACAGGCAAAAAAACAACTACATTTCAAATAACTTTCATAAAAAAATGTATCAATAACTTGAGGTTTTAAGACAAAAATGGTACAAAATTCACCATCACACTTCTAAAACTAAATTCCTGTTCAACTAACAAAACAAACTGCAAAGGACAAAAGATCTGTGAAAAGCAGTATAAGAGAAGTAAAGAAAATCATCACAATAATAGGTTATGGTTAAGGTCAACAGCACAGCATAGGTTTTAGAATACATTTAACTATTTACTTTTATTGTAAACAATCGTGTTTGTCAAATTAAATTTCTTAAAGAAAATGGCAATTTTCTATTTAGCTGTGCATAACTTTCACCACAAGTCTATTTTAATTAACAAAAATTTAATTTAAGGTTAACAAGATTTAAACTATTTTTTAATTAAAAAACATATTCTACTATTCCACAAAAGTAGACACAATGAAGACAAATTTCCAGGATAAATTTGTCTGATTAGAAGTGGAGTATAATTTTTTTTAGATCTCAGCCCCCTGACTGAACCAATGATTTCCCTGATGTTAAAGTTTATAAAAAAAAAATCTGTATTGCAAATGTTTTATTGTAATAAACAACTAAGGCTAAAAGAAAAAAAAAAAACAACATTTGTGGCATTGCTTCAAACCAGACCAATAAGGTAAAGCTTACAAAAAATATGGTAAATAATGAGAACAGATTTTTATTTTATCACAGACCAAAGCCGCTGATTATCTCACTATGCAAAAGCAAAAATTTCCCAACATGGACGGACGAATCTTATAATTGATCAGATCAATGAATATTGAGCACCAAACAACACACAGACATCACTGAGATGAAATACAAATACATGTGATTGATGTCCACAGAGTATTCTTTTAAAAAAATATAAATAGTAAGCAATTCTACTGGATAAATAAGCACATTTTAATGGCATAAATTCTTGTACTTAAAATTTACCTACTCAATAAATAATTAAAATTAGAAAGAAAAAAATTTACTAAAATTTTAACAATACGCAGAGTTGTAGAGAACCCTTCCATTAACAACCTGCATAATTACAATCATTAAAAAAAATTTAAGTTTGGTGAATCCCACAAACTTGTCTCGAGGGCAAAAAGTAAAGGTTGGCTAAACAACAAGGAAAATGTGCTAAATAAAATTAAAAATTCAATGTATTAGATAATAAATGTTCAAGTTACCCGGTTCCTTACTGTAGGTTTTATCAATATATTATACTAGCCTCGCATCATTTATAAAATGGATATTTGCATAAGTTGTAAGTGAAATACTTAAAAAATTATAAGGTGAGAATTAATATCGTTACTTTTCTAAACAGTCCATTGATGAATTCTGGCAAAAGCCAAAAGGACACCAATGCACTGCATAAGACTTAACAAAGTGACAAGTATACCAGACATAGTGAACAGGGATATAACAGCAAGAAATTCAAAGGGAATCTCTGAGGGTTTAAGATTATGAATGTCTAGTTTAAAGGATTAAACAAATATTCTGATGTAAGGGGTTAGCAAACATGTAAGGAATGTAATATTTCATGATAGGCACTTTTCAGCTGCAATTAAATGGTTCAACAAGCCGATGTTTATAGTCGAGTAATTAATGTATAATGTAAGTATTTGTTGTTCGATTTTTTTCTTAACAAACTTGATAATTTGTTAGCAAACAGGATATTCTTTTAAATATAATTTGCAAGTGATGCATAAATACCAGAATTTAAAGAAATTTTTGTTTAATTTTTTTTTATGGCTTCAGTATTGTTAGAAAATGCTTAAACCCAATGGATATAAAATTATTTTCGTAAATCTTACTTTACTTTAAATATATCAAAAAATTAAATCATGACTTATTTTTTTAAAAGTTATACAATTTTGATGCATATAAATTTAGCACAGGATAAAGGCAGTGTACTTTAAATTTAGCGCTAAAACATGTGATTTACTTTGTTAAAAGTTTGTTTATCCGTTTCCACTTCTGGCTGCTAAATTAATCAAATTTGTAACAACCAGCTACCAGCTACGAATAGTCATTTGATGGGAGCTAACTCCAAAAATAGTAGCCACATAATGGAAGCACCAAAGGTTGCAAATGCGAGTTGTCGACCAACCGTGTGCTGATGGCCAAGGAATGCCTTTTGTAGGATGATAGTGATGACATCTTGTATTGGTTCACAATACTGTGCATGTCCGAGACTGTAATAAATGAAAATAAATATTATGCACTGAATTGTCAATCTTTGCATTTAACAAGATACAAAAATCCATTGCCTTTGATTCCCTTTAAACAGTGGTCCCCATGTGATGCAGAAGGCCACCAGAGAGTAATAAAATGAAATAATGAGAACCAGAAAAAATGTTTCTTTATTATAAAAAAACAACAAATTCATTTGTAAAAAGCAACAAAGCTATTATTACACAGGGAGAAGTTTGTAGCTAAGCAGCTGATGTGATTGCTAAAAGGCAATTTATAGCAGAGCAATGGATCTGACCTTACTGTGCCAGCTATTTGATGACCTACCATACAGAGTGAGCTGTAATGAAAGGAAATACTATTGAGTAATATGTTACATCTTGACCTACAGATAAACTTACTTTCTTTGGAGGAGGCGATTTGGCATTGTTTTCATTTTCATCCTTCTTCCCATCTTTTCCTTTTTTGTCTTTACCCTCAGCCGTGTCCTCATCTTTTTCATCTTTACCTTTACCATCCTTTTTCTTCTTATCTTCTTTTTCTTTCTTTCCTTTCTTATCTTTTGCACTTCCTTCGTCCTCTCCATCCCCTTCTTCATCCTCCTCAGTATTTGCTTTTTCATCCTTCTTTTTATTGTCTTTTTTGCCTTTTTTGTTGTCTTTCTCCTTTTTGTTGTCTTTCTCCTTTTTGTTGTCTTTCTCCTTTTTGTTGTCTTTCTTGCCCTCTTTACTTTTCTTCTGGAAATTTATATTCACAACTAAGAAAATATTCCACATAAATTGTAAATATTTTCCTTAAGGTCACTTGACATGTAACTTGCAGGTATTTGGATGCGTAAAAAAAAAATATCAGTGATTTTCAAACTATGCTACCCTGTAATCATCAAAAGGCCAACCAAATCACTAAAAACATGGTCTCATAATTCCATCTTTAAATTATTTTTCATAACCCTACATCAGTTCTACAGATCTCATTCTTCATTAAAATCCCTTCTCAAATATCATCTTTAATTCTGATAATAAAATTTCTACTAATAATTCCATCTCTAAATCTGTTCTCATGATATAAATCGCATTTAGCAGAGACATCACTAAATATTATATTTAAAATTTACCGCAGATTTTTTATCATCATTTTCCGCCGCATCTACATCCTCTTCTTCTTCATCTTTAGCCTTCTTCTTGTCTTTCTTTTTATCTAGAGTAAATTGTAAAAATGTTTTAAGGTTAACAGATTCATTAGTGTTTATTTAATTCCAATATGCTTAAAACCTTAAAATTTGTGTGATATTATTTTGATTTATTTCACTTAAATTTATATACAAAAAATGTTCTTGGGAAATATTTCCAGTTAAAATCATAGCAAGCGTATGAATTTAAATTTTGATTCAAAATAATTATGACATACACAGTATGCATTTTAGGGTCAAATATGTTCCTCAACTACGTGAATTATATCCTTTAGATTCTCATGAGAGGTTAGGGTCACAAGGGTTGTTAATCCAACCCCCATGTTAAAAATTTAAATGTCCTTTAAATAAAAGAATTATTCTCGCAGTCTGTTATGTTCAAAATGCCCAGTACTTGAGCCCTATTCACTTTAAAGAAGAAAATATAGAATTTTTTTTTCTCCCTCAACCTTACCTCATGAAGAAATCTTACAGATTCAATCAATAACTTCATATTTGATTTTCTGCAGTTTCTTTAAAGATTATCAACAGCAACCCACCCCCTCCCCTTTTCAGGCGGGGAGGTGTTTTAATATGTATGATCTACTCAAAACTATAAAACTTACGACCTGCATTCCCAGCTTCAGCTTAAATTTCAACGATTTTTATCAAGTGCTTACTCCCATATTAGATTTCTTGTATGCTTTGTTATATTCTGTCGTTATATAATGTACAATCAAAACTACAAACAAACATCAAAACCCACCTTTTTTTTTTCCCTTTTGCTTCTCTTCTTTTTTCCCCTCTTCTTTTTCCTTATTTTTCTTACCATCCAATTTTTTATCATCTGTCTTGTCTTTCTTTTTGTCTACAAAAAAACAACAGGCCACTGACACATGAGCATTTGGTTTAAAAAAGATAATATATGAAAGTTAAAAGAATTCTTGGTTCACACTAATAGAATCTTGATTTCTTATACATAATGATACTTGTTTCTATTCCCCCTTCTTTTGTTATTGAGACTGTAAAATATTCTTTTGGGAATAAACCGCAGGAAAAAAAACTAAACAAATAAATACAGCGTTATCAAATCTTATACCTGCATACAAGTCGCTATAGAACAATTCATTACAATGAGAGACAACTCTTATCAATTTAATCTGCTGGTTAACTAAATGAATCTAATTACCAACCTTTCGTTTTGTTATCTTCTTCTTCATCATCTTCATCTTCATCATCTTCATCATCTTCATCATCATCATCTTCCTCCTCTTCATTGTCATCCTCTTTCTTCTTTTGCTCCTTCTCTTCACCTTCTTTCTTTTTTCTTGGTACAGGAAGTGGTCCTTTTTTCTTAGAGAAATAATAATTAAAAAAGGTTATGTAACCAAATATTGACAGCCTTACTGGATATTGTTTAAAAAAATCTCAAATGTTGCGACTAATTAAAAAACACCATATTTTTAAGTAAGATAAATGGATTAAAACTTAATAATATGTAGATAAGTTGCGTAAGCACTTTCTCAGAAATTTAGTAGATGCAAAAAAAAAAAAAAAAAAAATATCTCAGGAAATATTTTTTTTCTTTTTCACTTCTAAATAAGTATTCAATAGAAATGTTTTGTGACAAATAAATAAAATATTTTATTCTTTTAAAAAATAAGATAAATGGATTAAAACTTAATAATATGTAGATAAGTTGCGTAAGCAATTTCTCAGAAATTTAGTAGATGCAAAAAAAAAAAAAAAAAAAAATATCTCAGGAAATATTTTTTTTCTTTTTCACTTCTAAATAAGTATTCAATAGAAATGTTTTGTGACAAATAAATAAAATATTTTATTCTTTTAAAAATTAAATCCTTATGAACTTGTATATTCAAGTCTAATATAATGTAAGATAATTTGAACAAGGCAGTTGACATCAGTGTGGTATATTTAAATGGGGTGCAAGGTAAGGCAATCAGTCATGTGCAGGAGATGAGGGAAGATAAAAAAAAAAAAAAAAATTTAAACAAAGAAAGAAATAGTGTAAAAAAAAAAAAAACAAAAAAAAAAAAAAAAATAAAAAGAAAGAAAATAAACCCAAAAAAAAAAAAAAAAAAAAAAACCTTTTAGAGGACTGATTTTTATTTGCAATTGTAATAGTCTAAGGGCTATATTTTTTAAAGAACCTATGAAAATAATTATTTCTTATATTTTGATTAGAATAATTTATAAAATTGGGGTGTATAATCAAATGTTATTTGTAATAGAAGACAAGCAATGAAGCAGAACACAAAGAAGTGAAGTAGAACACAAGGGAGTGAAGTAGAACACAAGGGAGAGAAGTACAGCACACTTTTATGAAACCCAAACCCAAAACTGATGATTAATTTTACATGTCTAAAAACAATCTAGAGTTTTAAAATGATGCAAGGGCTTTTCCTTTAAGGAATTAGTGTTAATGCCTTTTAAAAATATGAATTTGATGCATGAAACAAAATATTATAAATGAAAGGAATAATCAATGATGCACTTTGAAGAGAATTTAGAGAAACAACAAAAATGGAAATTATTATTTTAAAATTTGCGTTTCTTTTCATAATAAATATACCAATGTCTGTAAAATAGTGTTATATTTTTTATATGAAAAGGATGCCTTTAAAAAAAAATGTGCACCTTGTTAATTGTTTCAATCAAAAGCTGTAAGTTTTTTAAAATAGAGGATGGGCATACACCAGAAACGAGCTATACAGCAGAGCAGAGTAGATAGGTAACAAAAGTTAATTTCCTCTTTCAATTTGAAAGAAAAGAATTTAAAAATTATCACTGAAATTTGATGAGGGTTTTTAGAAATACAGAACTGCAACACGCACACAAAAAAAAAATTTAAAAAGGGTTCGAGCAATACTACAAGTCAAACAGCTAAATCATTCAAATATGGTAACTTTTAAAATGAAGCGATACCTGGTGCCAATAAAAAAAATTTGAATGCCTTTGAAAAAATCTTTAAATTTCTTAAAGTATTCAAACATTTAGAAGATTAAAGTGAGATGGAATTCCATTTAGTTATTAATTGTATGACTTGAGTATAAACATGGTCATTTTATTTATTGCTCTTTAAAAGAACCTTTAAAAATAATTCTCTTGAGAAATAGCAACAGCTGTTTGCAGTGAATGATCAAGGCAGAGAAACTAAAAATGTCAAATTTCAACTGTTAGATAACAAAGATGCCAATCAAAACCAAAGAAAACGAAAATGGACTTGACATGTGTTAGTCTTACTGATGGGGTCCACTCATTTTTATCTTTCGCTGTATTTATAATTTCAACCATGTCCTGTGTCTCGTCATCATCCTTCACAATGCTTTTGTTGTCATTCAAATCTGGCTGATGCTGCTTCGATAAACTATGTGGCTTCGATCGGTCTGCCAACTTTTCATTTTCACCATCAGACGAATCGTCATCCTCCATCTGGTTCTGCAGTTCAGCCGAGAGGGCTAAAACCTCATCGTCGGATTCATTCAAATCCTGATCTTCTTCCTCTTCAGGCTTATTGTGTGAAGAGTCCTTATTTCTAATCTTCTCTTCATCCTCACTGCTTGCTTCATTTTCGTCATCACCCTCACTACCATCCTGTCTGCCAGTAGTCCCCTGAAAAGCCATGCAATATCAATAAACTAAAAGCTGCGTCTATCACTCCAACTACTGGCCCTGCTCCTGGCTTGTAAATAATGGTTTGCATGCTCTATTTCAAGGTTACTAATCAGTTGCACTATAAAGCAAGTCCGTAAACAGAAAAGGCCTTCAGAAGTGACTATACACTAAAAAAGTATGTAGCTTTGGTCTATTAAAATTTTAACTTTATGGTTGAAAATAATGATGTATTGTTAATGGATATGGTAATATAAGTAACATGGGATAAAAAAAAGACAACCTAATTAACTGTTACTTATTTCAATGGAACCATGATGTTTTAAAGAATTTTTTTAATCGATTAATTTTAGTCATTAGTAAAACTAAAAATGTGTGTGTTTATGTATTAAGAAAAATTATAAAAATATATGTCATTTATGTAAGGAATGAAATATATACATAGTAAACATATGGTATACAAGGAGGCAACAATTAATAAAAAAAAAATACATTTCTCAGCTCTTGAGAAATATAAAAATATTTCCAAGTGGGCGATTTTACCTTAAAATATAAAAAGAAAGGATTATAGAAGTAGGACATATTTTTTACATCATACAATTATAAAATATGAAGAACAACCCCCCACCCCATCTTTTAAATTCATTTGGCACAACTTTTACAGTCAACCTTTTTGGACCATATCAAAATCACTGAGATATGCATTACAGTAAAGAAATGCTCTCATCTGTTTAGCACATGCAACAATTACAAAGAATTTATTTTGGTCATTCATGCATGCAAACAAAGTTTGTGAGCACAAACTGTACCTGGACCAAAGGGATATTTCTCCTAGGAGAGGCAACAGGACAAGTTTGGAGGGGTGCCTATGAAGGACATGTAACAAAGTTATCTCACCAAAGGAACCACAAAACATAGCATGAACGGATACATTGCTGAACTGAGTTGGACAAAACATATTTAAATTGTCAATGTATCATCTCTTATATTTTTAAAGTGCTAGAACTCTCCAAAGTTTTCAGTAACTTGTACGAAATTTAAAAATAATCTGTAAAACCAAACACAAAGATGAAATTTCATTAAAATAATGATCAAACATTTTTGAATGTTTTTAAAAAAAAAAAATAAATAAATAAAAAATAAAAAAAATTCTTAAAAACAATGTTTAAATAATGAACAAAAGTGTGAATGACTTAACTCACTCTTTACAGTTTTCAGTCTCCAAAAACAAAATTGTTTGGGAAAAAAAACAATGAAACTTAAATTTAAATAATTTAATAAAGTTTTATGGAAAGGGTAGTCTGTTGTCTTTAATTCATGTATATACAGAAAATTAGGGGTGTGCCGGACCCCGGTCCGGAATCCGGTTCCGCCGGATTTTGCACTATCCGGTGAAATCCGGTTCCGCCGGATTTACATGTATCCGGAACAACCGGATTCCGGAATCCGGAATATACCGGATTTCGGAATTTGCCAGATTTTGTGACTCACCGGATCATAATCTGAAATAAAAGTAATTCTCTTTCCCGAATTTCACACGATCACGATACATTAATCGATTGTTTCGAGCGTTGAGCTTGTTTAATGTTTAATATTCCGTACATACCAGAGGCTAGAGTCAGCACCGCTAATAGTGGCCAATAGTGTAGGGACTTTGATAAGAAAATTTAAACTTTTTGTAAAAATAAACCAATGGCATAGTTGAAAAGATGTAATTTTTTAAAGAATTATAACACCAAAATCATATTTTTAGCTGTTGTAGTTTTAAAGTTATGAATTTTTAAAGTACGACTTGGTTTGTCATTTTTTAACATGGACTGCATCTCCACATTCTGTGATCTCATTCCACCAATCCCGTCATGCGCAATGACTATATAGTTTATATAAGGCAACGCATTCCCTGCCTTATCACTAAAATACTGTTTAGACTTAGTTTAAACTTTCAACTTTGGCACATGAATAATTAATTAAAGCTTTCCCTGACCAATGGTTTAATAGTTTTTGCACACGGCAAACTCTTATGAATGAAACTCTGAGGTAGTACTACGATACAGTTATGCAAGTGGCTGTGAATGGTTGCCAATGACAACGTGTTGCACACGGTAAATTCTGATCATTTATAATATGGATTCTACCGGGTTGTTAAAGCTCAAATTAAAACATTCCAGTTTAAATGTCTTTAAATGCATTCTGAAACACAAGTTATCAATTATTTTGATGTAAATAGTGATAATAAATTAATATTTCCTAAGTATCGTCAACTTCCGCCATTAAAAAGGGGGGCGTGGCCAACCCCATGGCGAAATTAGGTTGAGCGAGCTGCATAACCTGCTGCGAACGCGTAGAAACATGGCGTCTCTCGTAAGGCACTTATCCAAATGGAACGGAACTCAAATATATATCGAAAGTACTAATTTAATAATAAATAGACACACACATCGGAAAATTAAAAACTCGGATTTTTTGGCGCCGATTGCGAATTCCCATACACAAAAAGTAGTAATCCACCTTGACTTACCGAAGTATCTACCAATAGTACCAAAATCCGGAATCCGGGAGAAACCGGTATCCGGATCCGGCGGATTTCGCATAAGAAAATCCGGATCCGGATCCGGTTGGAAAAAACGGATCCGGCACACCCCTACAGAAAATGTAAAAAAAAACTTTGACAAGATAAGCATTGCAAAGTATTTTTAACTTGAACCAAAGCAGAGTCCTGAGGTCTACAAAATAAATTGCATAAACCAATCTGAGATAAAATTTATAAATTTACTAAATTAGAAGATGGCTGTATAAAAAACTAAATTATTAAATACAATTTTTAATTATAGCACTATTGGAATTTCAAGTTATTTCAAATATTTCTTGTCAGTTCTAACCTTTTTTTCTTTGACGCTATCAGGTACCTCCTCTTCCCCATCATTATCGCTGTCATGTTCTGATGAAGCACCTTCACAAGAAGAAAATAGAGAGACATCTTAAGTAACAGGATAAAGGCAAAAGAAATGTAAATAAAATGCATAAAAAGTATATGTTGGTTTTATTTTGAATAATAAAATTCTTTAGTCTTGTCTGCTCTTTAGTAACTTTGCATTGTCAGAAGAATGTCCACAATAATAATGTAATAGAATAAATTATAAAGATCTATCTCAAAAGCACACGCTCTCTTTACTGGCCTGCAGTTTTTTTTTTCCTCCACCACATGGGTGTGCAAACTTTTTTGCGCAGAGGCCTGCAAAGTAATTAATTTTTTCTTTTGCGGCCCGCACACTAATGCTGTTTATACTTCGAGAGTTAGAAAAATTTACCTTTTTGAGTTTAGTTTGCTATTAAAGCAGCGGCAAAATGTTAAAATTGGTTGTGATGATTATTATTAGTTTGACAACTTCACATTTGTGATTAAAACATTTAAAGGCTTTAGAGACAACCGCTGCCAATTTGTACGTTTTACAAAGTCATTAATCCACTTCTTTGGAGTTCTCCCAGGCCCCATTAAAACATTACAGCAGGCTGCCCGCCCGGTTCTGTCGTTACCTTAATCCCATACACTGACATTCATTTTATGATAATTCCACAGTCTACTTAAACCCATACACTGACAGATTATCATAACCCCATAGTCTTCTACTTAATCACATACACTGACAAATTAAAATAATCCCACAGTCAACTTAATCTCATACACTGAGACATATTATGATAAACACATAGTCTACTTAATCACATCCACTGACAGATTATGATTATTTCAAAGTCTACATTAACATTCCCATTAAGCATTGACGATTTTAGAACTTGTTTTCTGATTACTTTAAAATCGTTAAATACATCTCTGATCATGTGACTGACCACTGATCACGTGACTGACCATTCAGTAGGCCCAGCTTTGGCAATGTTGTTTTGCTGAGCGCGTCACCCTTAGTTTTGGCATGGGAGGACTTGATGGGCGGCATGGTGGCACTGAGGGCGCGTAAGCCGTTGGTGGAGGCCAGAGCAGGTAAAGTTTGGTACAGTGTGGAAAAGGATCTCTGGGGTAGGAGAAATACAATGATCATTTCATTCAGTTCATTTTCATTCATTCTATGTCATTAATCAGGAACCAATTTAATAACAAATCAAATTACATGTTTTTATGTCTACAAAGCATATGTACACAGTATGTACATGACTTTTTCTTTAAACAATAGAAATCAAACTGTTAATTAAATTAATTTAAAAAATAACAAATTATCAGATAATTTGTGTATTCAAATTTTAAAAAGTGTCGAAACCTTAATATTAGTTTCAACAAAATATTTTAAAATTGTCTTTGAAATAATAAATGTCACAATAAGGCCCACGATTTACAAGACATATTTCAAGTCTCACCGTGACTTCATTCCTTCGCTTCTCCCGAGCTGACAATGACCTGGTTAAACTAGGGGACCCCACCCCTCTGCCTATAGTCTCAGAGAGACTGCTATCTTCAAACAGTTTCATCTCATCCACCGATTCATCATTGTCTGCATCCGCAGTGCCTTGTTTTGGCTTGGCTGTGACGATCATGTGACACCCACCACACGCAACCTAAATAGGAAGAAGAAAAAAAAGGTCAACACAACTAGATATTTTCCCTTTATTGTTTCCAAACAAATATCTCTGTCATTGGCAACTGCTATAACACAGACCGAAAAACATTTTAGACTTTTTAAACTGATAAAAACGTTTCTCAAACTGAAGAGCATGTACAGCCAGTTGTACATCTACACTGTGACATGTGGTATGCAGAGATGTACAAAAATACACAGTGGCGTAGCTAGGGTTGGTGTAACCCGGTGTGGTAAGCAGTGTGTGTCTGTAAAATATGCAATTTTTCAGTTTGGTGTCACCCCCCCCCCCCAGATGGTGACGCGGTCCTCGCCCCCCCCCCCCCCCCCGGTGCAGTCCGCACCCCCACCGACATGCAGTGGATTACAAACTAGGAACTATGAAATATGCACATGGTCATACGTAGTTCTTTAGCAGCTGATTTAAAGTGTTAGTACAACATTCAAAAATGTTGAAATCCACTTGACAAAAACATTGAGATTTTAGAAAAACTTGTCTGTCATTTGATTTGCTTCTTGACAGGAAAAAGGTAAACAAATGATAGTTTGTTTTTTTTCTTCAAGGAAATGAAAAGCTGTGAATCAGTTCATAGCATTAACATCACCAACTGTTTACCCTTGTGAACATTGACACCACCGACTGTTTACCCTTGTGAACATTGACACCACCAACTGTTTACCCTTGTGAACATTGACACCACCGACTGTTTACCTTTGTTAACATTGACACCACCAACTGTTTACCCTTGTGAACATTGACACCACCGACTGTTTACCCTTGTGAACATTGACACCACCGACTGTTTACCCTTGTGAACATTGACACCACCGACTGTTTACCCTTGTGAACATTGACACCACCAACTGTTTACCTTTGTAACGATAAAGCTAGAAAACCTTTTACAGTGGAAAGGTTTGTACTGATTAGAAAACTGGTCGTTCCCATGTGCCAGCTTGCCATGGCGTCCATCACCAAAGGTATAGAGTTGACCCTTTTCTGAGAGGGAAAATAAATGTGCACAGGGGTCAAGGGTCATAATCAGAACAATATATTAAAAAAATACATTAAATGCCAGCCTAGCAAGTGTTATTATGCATCTGAAATATTAGATCAAGAACTACATTCACGTATCTACAATTGTTCACTTTGAAAATATTTGAAGTCTAAATAAAGTTTTTCTTCTATAGTCACAGTTACATTTTAAGAGTCCTCTGATTAAAGCTTTAAGAGTCCCTTGATTAAAGCATTACAAGTCCCTTGATTAAAGCATTGAGTGACCCCTGATTAAAGCATTAAGAGACCCATGGGTAAAGTATTAAGAGACCCCTGATTAAAGTATGGAGATTTACCTGATTAAAGCATTAAGAGACCCCTGATTAAGGCATTAAAAGTCCCTTGATTAAAGCATTAAAAGTCCCCTGATTAAAGCATTGAAAGTTCCCTGATTAAAGCATTAAGAGACCCCTGATTAAGGCATTAAAAGTCCCCTGATTAAAGCATTAAAAGCTCCCTGACTAAAGTATTGACATTCCCTTGATTAAAGCATTTAGAGACCCCTTATTAAAGCATTAAGAGGCTCCCTTGCAGCAACTATTTAAAAAAAACAGAACCACAGAAATATTTAAACTATTTATTGTCAAAACAATGTTTAAAACAGAAACCCCAGAACGTCACAGACATGTCCAAAAAAAAGGTCATTCAAACCATTCATCCCTAAACATGAGGTGGCCAACAGACCTGATATCAAGGCAGTGAAGGCTTGACCACAGTGAACCCTGGCCACTTTGAAGGGAAGATTTAAAAGTGTGGGCGTGGATGTGGATAAAACATCGGTGCCGAGGCCTAGCTGGCCACTTTCACCTTCACCAAACACATAGCATTTTCCCGATTCTAGAAACACAAAAAATTAATCAGTAAACAAAATGGTCAACAATCTGGTCAATACTCCTTCCAGTTCCAATTAATGAATGGGCAGAAGAAATACACCAATCATTTTGCAATTGATATTATATGGTCTTCATTGTTGCCACCAGCATTCACTTAAACTAAATTAAGCATGCCCCATCAGATCCATTACTTATTTGTGTAGAAATAAATGAAGATGAAGTCACTTTTTTCCATTGTTCTTAAAATCTGGGGTTTTGAATGTGCAGATATGATATAGACTTTTTAAAATTATATTTCAACATTTCTTGATTTTAACCAATAAATTCAAAGTAACATTCTTTATGTGACAAGAAATTTTAACAAAAATCTCTTCAACGATCAGAAATTTACCACTTAATGCGACTGTATGTGAACTTCCACAAGCCACCCATTTTATAGGCTCCTTGATTGATGTCACTTCCTGTGGCACATTTGTGTCGTCCACATCATCTGGCAGTCCAAGTTTCCCGCCGTCTGGCTCGCCCATTGTGAACAATTTGCCATCATCTAAATTGAAGTATGGGGAGAAATGAATACACCTACAATGTTTGTAATTACAGCTGCTTAAGTCTTCTTTGAGAGACAGTATGTGTCTAGAAGGTGTGCATCTGTTAAAATTAATATTTTACAATTTTCATAATATGAACTTTTACATTTAAAAATGTCTAATTTCATTTGAAAATTCAGCAAAAGGTCACCGTATTAAGATAACAACTTGTTTAGTAAATTATTCATTGCTCTTCAAGACTTTCACTTTTAGTATGTTGATATTGTTAATAAATAAATCATCATTAAGTTTATATTTCCCCCACTCCAGTTAAACCAAGGGACGCAACTCTTGCAAAAAATTAATGCTTTTATATCATACTTTCCCTTTTGGTTTTACAGCACCCTGAGTCAGTTTTGTGGAACCTCATTTTTTTTAAATTCCGAAGAAACCAGGTTATGCTCAGTTAATGCCTTGGTAATCTAGGCATGCGTAACTATTTTCGTCATTTCCACTGTACATCTTTGAGACTTTCTTTATAGAGAACTTTGATACAACATCTGATCTACGAGCATGGGATGTGGTGTGTTTGTGTGTCTCAACTGAGTCAATCCCAAGCTGGTGGACTTGAGTTCAATGCCCAGCAAATCTTCACCCGCACCCTCTGGTGGATGGGACTCATTACCCTTGGTTGGCGACTCATCTAAGAAAAGGCAAACTCTGAAATAAGCACAGAGAAGGACTCCCTTAGGCGGTAATGACATTGACATGATGAAAATGCCGCCAACTCCTGCGATGTGGGAGCACAGTGAAACACACAAGACAGAATGCTGGTCATCTACTGCAACCTGGTCCATTTCCAGTCATCTTGACTAAGTCTTGCCATTGGGTCAAATAGGCAAGGACGAGAGAGTGAAGCTGAATACAGCTCAAGTCAAGGCTACTATTCCATTTGAAAATTGCCTTGGTCATCTTTGTGTGCGAAGTATGAGCAATAATAATAATAATAATAATAATAATAATTAATTTAACATAATTATTATCGCACATACCCAGAAACAAATTAGTTTTTTTTTACAGCTCACCAGTAACAAAAGCTGTATGGTAGTATCCACAGGCTATACATGTAACAGGTCTATCAACTGGAAGTAGTGCCGGCTCCACCACAGTGTCAAGGTCACCCAAACCCAGTTTGCCATCCTCATTGCCTCCCCATACATAAGCTCGCCCATCGGCTGTCAACAATAAAAATCAACGCATTTTTTAAAAAATTAAATTTTAAGATCACATACTCAGGTGGCAAGAAAAATATTTTTCTGGAGTTTAATGATCAGTAAATTAAAATACTAAGAAAATGAGTGTTGAGCACAGGACAGATGAGTTGCAGTTCTAATCACATCCAAAAAAAAAAAAAAATCCAAACAATTTAAAAAAAAAAAAAAAAAGGAAAAAAAAGGAAAAAAAAGAATAACAGATAGTTAACCTGTAAGTGCTGCTGAGCTATCAGAACCTGCTGCCAAAATTTTGTATTTTGTGGGTTCAAGTGATTCAATCCGCCGAGGTGTGTGCTGGCTAGTAGATGTCTCATACCCCAGCTGGCCATCACTATGGCTTCCAAATGTGTAAATGTGACCCGATTCTAGAAGCCGGAAAATTAGATAATAATTATGTAGAGCATAATACGATGACTAAAAATATAAGAAATTAATACAAAACATAACCGATGCTGTTTTTTAAAATACATGTCTCTCATTTATGATTGATTATCACAAATGGAAAAAAATGTAGCAGAAGTTCCATAAATTTACCTGTTGAGACTAGAGTGTGACTCCTGCCACATGCAACATATTTTGACTTTTCATGCTTTAACACTGAAACATTAGAAAGCATGCATTTTTCAACAAATGATAACAGCATTAAATTTTCTCAATAAGGAAACTGGTGCCATGATGCGACCCGTTGGCTGGATTTATGGTTGAACTGGCAAATATAAAAAAAATGTAGATGTATTTGTTGAAAAAAAAAAATTTTCTAATTTTTTTTCTAATTTTTTAGAAAATGGATGTGTTTCTGATAATATAAGCATTTTTATTTTTAAATGTATATTAAGAGTATTTAAACCACGACTATCATAATTTAAAAAACATAAACAAATTTTTGTATTTAATAATATTAGTAATATTTAACCCCACCAAAAAAACACTTTCAAAATATTTTATTACATTTTACACAGCTAGGCCTGTTAACGCCTTTATTTTCCTGACCCAGGCCAAGTTGTCCCCAATCATTAGGTCCAAACATAAACACTCGTCCAGATTCTGTAGAATAAAATAAAAAATTTTTTAATCAGTTTAATCACTTAAATTACAGGCGGTACATATTTTTTTAAATGCAAAAAAAAAAAAAATTAACACACCAAACATGTTAAAAGGTATTTTTTCAAATGAAAATTATAAGTAAAACTTAAAGGAGTAATCTCTAAAGGCTTTTGCTAAGCATGAATCAGTACCTGCAACAAGGGCTGTGTGCTCATCTCCACATGCAACCTGAAGAACCCTGTCATTCTTTACCCAAAATTTATTGGGTAAATTATCTGCAAACTTGCTTTTACCAAAGGTGAACACTGCCCCGGTCTCTAAAGAAATTAAAAATTCAAGAAACAATTTCAGGCCTATTGCTGACGATGATGTGAGAAGAATTCCTCTCTTTTAATTTCTACAAAGAGACTGACTGACTGTTTAAATTTTATCATTTCGACATGTGCGATGAGGCTGTGTCCCATGGGTGCCTGAATGAGGATTGGAAGAACAGGAGAGTGATGATAAACAAGTTGATATAAATTGTATGAGTAGAGAGCGCAAGAGTGTGAACTAGGAGAACTGATCAAATATTCAGCAGGTCAGATCGCATTATTTATCAATGTGGACTATGGTCATTGTAATTGGTAAAAAAAAAATTATTATTAAAATGCTACCAAACTCTCAATGAGTCTTTAAATTTTTTTGTTTATAAATCTTTTAAGACTAAGAGCTTAATAATAACTGTAACTGCTAAACATTTTTACTAGATGTTGGCACTCTTGGCAAAAAAATTATAGGCCCTATATTGCAATAGTCTACTACACTTAGCTTACAGTTACACTACAGCATAGTGCTATCCATCTGTGGACAGTGATGAAGTTGAGTTTTAACAGAAACAAGAAGCTGCAGATTGCAGACACTTAATTTTTTTTTTAAATGCATAGTATAAATTAGGCACTTCAGTAAAGCAAAGGAGACTATTTCAAACTTTGTATGGGAATCAGCATGGAAAACACGATTTTTTAATTTTTGGAAATTGGTGCTTTTTCATTGATGAAGTGACTATTTTTTCATAAAATTGTGGTATTCATCCACATATTTACAGTAATGGACAACTTGACCTACATTTCCATTGCAATTTTTTGCCACTTTATTAGAAATTCCTAGCCCAATATAAGGCATATTTTTTCATGAAGTTAAAAATCTATGTCATGTCTTTCGTATTAAAACTGCCTCAGTAATATATATTGATGTACATGTGTGCCAATTCTCATTGAGTTAGGACATGTCGACTATTAGTAATGCTCATCCAAGTAACCTGCATATGGTGGTTCTGCCCAATTTCGACCACACCAACTTTTTAAAGGTGGAAGATGCCAATACTTACCACTATTCATATTAAAATATATTTAATAACTTGGGTTTTAGAATAAACTTAGAAGATATTTAAACATGAATATTTCAATTTGAGGTTTAAAAACCCAACAGAGTCCATATTATAAATTATGTGTGCAAAACATTGTCATGGGCAACCATTGACTGTCACTTGAATGTACTATACTACTCTAGTATTATTCTTGTAGTTTCATTCATAAGATATTACCATGTGCAAACATTATTAAATCATTGGTCAGGGAAAACTTTAATTAATTAGTCATGTGTAAAAGTTGAAAATTCAAAATAAGTAGTCCAAAACAAGTAATATTTTTAGGGAGATGTCTTGCATTACACAATCTGTATATGTATATATCATAATGGATGCCTTAGACTTAGTTTACAGAACATCCATAACATGTTTATTAAATTTAATAATAATAATAATAATACATAGTACATAGCTAGATAAGTTACAATTAATCAGTGAAAATATATTTTTAATTGCATTGTTGCATTATAATTATTAGAGTTAAAATTAGAGTTAATATTAAAACTTATTATAATACCAAGAATCAATCCTGAAAATAAAATTTGTATAGAATTATCATTTAAACAAAAGTTATAATAAGTATTAGTGCGTGACACAATCAGAAGATTTGGGTCACAAAATGTGGAGGTGCTAGTGCTGTCCTTAAAAAATAATAAATTATAAAACGAAGTGTCTACTTGTCCGGCGCGCCGGAAAAGCCAGACAAATAGTGCTAGAGATTTCTTTGTGTACTATCGGCCTCCCGCCTTAAACGTAATTATTTATCACCCTCACTATTATTTTTTTAGCATTCATATTTTTTATTACCGTAATTACCTCTCTCTCTCAGCATTGCTTCCTTCTAGAATGCATTATTACTTAACCCCCACTTTGTTTTGGTAATATACCCAAGTATTTTTGTCGTGGTCAATGGACAAGGCTGACGGACAAATATATCGTGCCACTTTGTTACGGCGGTCATGTGACTTGATCACTGGACAAATATCTCGACAAAGTATTCTTCTGGCAGTCATGTGACTTGGTCGCCGGACAGATAGTGCAGGAGATATACGTCCGGCGTGCCCGACGTGTAGAAACTGCCATTATAAAATAACAAAAAAACTCCACTTTAAATTTAATAAATACTTGCTAAAAAAGTAGGCCTACTAGTTTCTAAAGCTAGAAAGATGATTCTAGTTTTTTTTTAATTTACAACTGTAATATTTTAATAATTTTTTAATGAAGTACCTTGTGAGTTATAAATTATAATAAATACTAACAAAAATGACAAAATGATATGATTAAATGTAGCCTAAATATTAAATGGCCTGGCCTAATTTCAATTTTAAATTAAATGCAATGGTGGCCTAGGCCTAGAAAAAAAAAAAAGATAATGATTGATTTCATTTACTCTAACAACTTCATTTTCTCTGAATTCAATTATTTTAAAATCTCGACCAATAATCAATTAAATTTTTAATCACATAATATGAAACTGATAAGTGCCCCTGTGATTTTTTTTTTTTAAACTATCGAAAACAGGGAGCGAAGCGAAGTAAACAACTTGAATGACTTGAACTTGTTTTTACAAACGCGGGAGATATGTTTATATATCCATTTTTTATTTTTAAAAACTCATAGACTCGTTTTCCACATCAATTTATATATTCTCTACAAAATTAACCAAGAAATATTTGAAGAAATTCATAAAAAATGCATAAATGATGACAGAAAACTAATAAAAACAGAAATGAAACCTGGAATGTCAGAGTCCTCGGTGGCAGCCATTTCTCACTACGGTATCCTAAACAACTTTCTATAACTATGCAAGCAGACGACTTTCACCGCAGGCAACCGTAAATAATTTCCATCTTGTTCCAAACGTAGCGCTATAAGGAATATTTTTTTGGCAGCCAAGGGCCTAGACATTTTTGAACATCACGATAGAGCGATTTCGTTTATGGGTGTGTGTGTTTATTTTGATGTTTTTTTGTTTTCTTTTTGTTACGCAGACTACAACAGCACTAAAGAAGCTCAAGAAAATATGGAATCACAAAAATATAGCCCCCAGCACCCAAATCAGGCTGATGCGCTCATTAGTCCTCTCCATTTTCCTGTACTGTATGCCTGCGAATCCTGGACATTAACAGCCGATCTTGAAAGGAAAATAAAGGCAATGGAGATGAGATGCTTCAGAAGCATTTTTGGCATCTGCTGTAGGGACCATATCTCCAATGAAACAGTGAAAGAAATGGTTCGTCAGGCAATTGGGGAGTACGATGACCTACTGGTGACTGTGAAAAAACGCAAACTACAATGGTACAGCCACGTAACAAGGAAACAAGGGATTGCCAAAGAAATATAGCAAGGGACCACAAGAGGAGGGAGAAGAAGAGGAAGACAAAGAGAAAGATGGGAGGATAACATCAAAGAGTGGACAGGACTAACACTGGGCGATGCAGTGCGTAGTGCAGAAGACAGAGACGAATGGAGGAGGATAGTTCACATGTCATCTGTGGCGCCCCAACGGTCCAAGGACTAAGGGACATGATGATGTTGAACTGGCTTAATTTGTAATTAAACCCCACGTCTTTATAATGAAATAATGAATCTCTGGTACCGCTTAAAACTTTTAAAGCAAATACACTCTTTTTAAATATGTTCTTCAACAAAACAAGTTATATCATTAATTACAAAAGATCATCAATTTTCCAAACGAATTGGGGCCTCGGTGGGTTTTTTCCCCGGATAACCTAACACTCCAACGGAAATGTCACGTAAGCGAAGTTGGTGCATAGACTGTAATATAAACCTAACATATTGGTAATAATGGTAATTGAAAATAAATTGTATTATTTACATCAGGATGGCTTGACCGCATCTACAGGTTCTTACAAAAAGGACACTGCTGATGGACTGGGCATGTTGCTAGATTACCAGACAGTAGCGTGAACGTTTCAGATGCTGAGCCATTGAATTGACAAAAAAAAACCCCGCTTCATAGATTGTCTAAAAGTATCACTAAAATGCATGGACATCGATCTGAATATATGGTAAACACTTGCTTTGAATCACACAAGAGGGTGAGGCAGACTGACTGTTAGGGCACACTCTTCAGACAGGAACGTACCGCAGGCTGACTGCTGGGGCACACACTTAACAGTAGCGTACCACAGACTTACAGTTAGGGCACACACTTAACAGTAGCGTACCGCTCACGCCCAAAGAAAGTGCCCAACAGAGTAGCCCCCAATGTGAATACCACCAGGACCAGGCCCGCACCGGGGTGGGGGGCAACCATGTCACTCATCAGGGGTGCCCGATCTAGCTAGGGGCCCGCCCTTTTAAAAATATACGCACATGTTTGAAACACGAAAGGGGCCCGAACTCTGACAGCTGCCTGGGGCTCAGAAGTTCCTAGGTGCGGGCCTGCCAGGACCCTAAAACGCGCGTGTCCTACATGCAAGAGATTTTTCTAGGCACACATTAGGTCTCACAGGCCACCTTCATATTCATCATCAAAATTATTCTTACCGTTAGAAGGGATGGCAACTGCAACATTATTTAACTTAATCATCAGAGGTGTATCAGATTCAACTGATCGATGTCAAAATACAGATGAGGACTTTACCAAAAACTGATGACTGGCTTCTGGGCAGTATAAATGACTTAAACACTTAAACGCATTTTTTTTGTACCTCCACATAATATCTAACAAAATATTCAAAATTATCAAGAAATACAAGCAATAAATGAATACTCAACACAGTAACTGTTCAAAGAAGATTAACTTTAAAGATAGAATAGGAAGTCAATGATCACTTACACTTACATTTAAAACGAGCAAGAAGAAATCACAACAACTGAAATTTACCATTTTTGGCCTGATCATTTTTGAAATAAAATCCAAGCTCATTTTGTCTTTGCAGGCGTGTTTTCTGCGATGCATGCTTTATGAATTAAAAAAAAAATAATTAAGTAGCAGTATCCCCGTCGGGACAG